CACCGAGGCCCACGCGTAAAGGACATCTCTGCCTGGTTCCTGAAGAAAATAATCCACTCTTAGCTAATTAAACAAGCAGGGGGCTTGAAGCTGCTAATTAGCTTCCCATCTGGCACAGATTTGGGGGAGGTAGGGGTAATCTGTGTTTTACAGCCAATAAAGCTAAGAGGGGAAAGAAATGGAAGTCTCGCTCTCTCCAGCAAAGCTTGTGCTAAGGCAAACAGCCCGTGTGTGCTAACCACAGTGAAATTTCATCTTTTAATTGCTTGGTTGCTGGAAAAGGCCCCACATGAAAGGAAGAGAAAACACAGGCAGCTGTTGCAAGATGTGTTGCTGGTGTGCATAAGGCAGACAAGGCACTGTACATGCTAGCAGTAAGACTACACAGACCTCCTGACTGGTGGGAGGGGGGCATTCGCCCGCCTGCAGATGGAGTTGCTGTCACTGAGAGAACCTACATTTTCTCTTCTATCTTATTGGGGCTTGTATCCAGTGTGATAATCCAGCTGGCAGAGGGTCAGACTTGATCAGCATCAAATCACTGTCCTGCTTGCTCTGTCCTGTTTACGGAAATAGCTGCTCACAAAACAAATCACAGACTCTCAGTTACCTCTCCAGCCTTGTTTGGCTTTGCTCAGTCACTCACCTGGATGCCTACTGAATGAGTATTCCCACTGCTACCTGCAAACTAAACGAGTGACCATGTGGTCTCATGGGCCAGGCACCCCGGAGTTTAATACCAGCTGGAAGAATGATATAGAACTTGGGCAAATCACTTCCCCTGTTAGTTTCCTCACCTGCAAAATGGGCATGCAACTTACTCAGCTCACGGAGGAAGGCTCTGAGGAATGGTTGTTATTAGGCTGGTCAAGCTCACCCACCACCTTCACATACAGTGCTTTGCAGGTGTATATCTGAGAACACAGGCTATAGAATCATAGAATATCAGGGTTGGAAGGGACCTCAGGAGGTCATTTAGTCCCACCCCCTGCTCAAAGCAGGACCACTTCCCAACTAAATCATCCCAGCCAGGGCTTTGTCAAGCCGGAATGTTAAGGTCATTCAATGGTATAGGGTTGCAATAAAAAAAGTCATTGCCATTTGTGTTGGGAAGTCTGATCTCTTACTTTTAGGAAGTTTGTTTTTCATCCCACGGTCCAAATGGAGATTAATTTTGACAGGCCAGATAGTCCGTGTAAATGAATTCCTCTTGTGAGATCAACGGGCAGCAGGTTTGAAACAAATACAAGGAAGTTCTTCTTCACGCAGCGCACAGTCAACTTGTGGAACTCCTTGCCTGAGGAGGTTGTGAAGGCTAGGACTATAACAGCGTTTAAAAGAGAACTGGATAAATTCATGGTGGTTAAGTCCATTAATGGCTATTAGCCAGGATGGGTAAGGAATGGTGTCCCTAGCCTCTGTTTGTCAGAGGATGGAGATGGATGGCAGGAGAGAGATCACTTGATCATTGCCTGTTAGGTCCACTCCCTCTGGGGCACCTGGCATTGGCCACTGTTGGTAGACAGGATACTGGGCTAGATGGACCTTTGGTCTGACCCAGTACGACCGTTCTTATGTTCTTATGTTATGCTCTTAATGCAAACGAAACTAAGTTACAGGACTAGCAAAGTAGACAGTCGAAAGGAGATATTTATAGCTGGCTATGCAGGCTGAAAGTTACAAACTCAGCCTCTGCAGACTTCTGACCCAGCTTCTGACCACCACATCAGCCCTGCCAACAGCCATCAAATCACACAAGCAAGAACTTCTTCAACGGGAAGATTTTGAGTATTAATCACGTCAGAATGGATGAGTCACTAACCAGGCACCATGCTGGTCTAAGGGTAGCTTCATGCAGGGAGCTCCAGCTCATCTTAAACTGAGGCCAAATTACAGCAGAGCACCTGAGGCTGCCTATCATAGTGACCAGTATTGTCTCTGTTTCCTTGGGCTTCTCCTGTTGCCTCTTGTCTTATACTTAGATTGTAGTTTGCGGCGTATAGCTGTGTCAGCCCCAGGACATAAAAGAGACAAGGTGGGTGAAGAACTATCTTTTATTGCGCCTTTTCTGTGGGTGAAAGAGACATGCTTTCAAGCTCACACAGAGCTCTTCTTCAGACCTTTCCCAGACCTGAAGAACAGCTCCATGTGTGCTTGAAAGCACGTCTTTTCACCAACAGAAGTTGGCCCAATAAAAGATATCACCTCACCCCCCTTGTCTCACTTACATTGTAAGGCATTTGGAGCAGGCACTGTCTGTCTGTCCTGTGTTTGTACAGTGCCTAGCACAACGGGGTCTGGTTCATGACTGAAGCTCCCAGGGGATACCACAATACAAATCATAAATAAGAATAAATAGTAATAATCTATGCTTTTCCCAGAGCACCACTTGGACCCCTAAAGATAAGGCACTGCTGTGATGAGCCCTGACCCCAGTTGAAATCTTAAGCTGTCCAAAGTGGGTGTAAGGTGGAGAGAATATCAATCAGCCTCTACACATGTTACAGAACAAATGTTGCTGAAGAATCATAGACGACCCTTCCACACAGTCCTGGAGACTCAAAATGCCAAATATTTGGCAGGAAATGAGTGTACTCTGTTACTCAATGGTATTCCTCCAGCAGGGCAGGTAGCATTTTAAGGCTCTGAAACTAACTGGGGGAAACTGAAACAGTGGGTCGGAAATAAAAACTGAAGTGATTGCAACTGGTGCAAGAACCTGTCCTTAATTTCTGGAGCCTACCGATGTCCCATTCGGAGCTCACACACTGTGAATGTTAATCAAGGCTCAGAGGAACACTGAACTGAACAATCCTTGAAGCTCATATCCAAGCCGGAAATCTGACACCCACTGACCAACAGTGCTAACATCCTTAAGAGATACATAAATGTAAGCATGATGCTCTGGAGACAGTCAGACAGCACATCAGTGCTAATCCCACCTTCCTGTGAACTGCAAGGTTGTGACTGAAATCAGGCAGGCTGCTTGCGCCCTCTGGACAGCGAGTCCGCGTGAGAGAGGCCTCAGGTTTGATATTAGATAAAACGACTCCATTAGAGGAAACTAATGTCCAAGTATTATTTTCTGGATTACTTTGGACTCTGCGAGTCAGGAAGAGAAAATCCTACCATCCCCAATTTGGATAGACAGCTCTAGGGAACAGACTGGGACAGACCACTCTGGCCTTGTCTACACTAAGAGGGGAAGTGCTGCAGTAAGTCATTGCTTAGAACACCTTGAACTTTCACTATGTGTACAAACACCATCTGTCCACATGCAATGACCACGTAGAGCATTTCACAAGTCAGCTTGTAATGGAAGTATGTGGCTTAGCTGAACGCATGTAGTCTTCAACAGTTTCTGCCTAGAACAACCAGGAAGTCATCAATGCTACAACTGTAGCGATTTAGCCATACCTCCCAACTCCATCTCCTAATGCAGTGCTTTGTGTTTGGAGGACAAAAAATGCACTGGTTCAACCACAGTTCTAAGGTGCACTGTGTGCAGACGTGCTAGACACTCTTACCATGGGTTGTCTCTACTTAGAGATATGATTGACGTTATGCATTGTTATCTTCCCTTCCTCCAGGTGAAGCCTCCAACTCCTCTGCCTGTAGAGATTGAGGAGGCCTGGTGGCAGAAGATCTGTGCCTGAAACCAACTGAACTTTCTGACGAGACAGACAACCCAGATAAACAAACACCTACAGCCCCAAACAAAACCTCAGAAAGCCAACAAAAACTGGCCCCATGGTGATGGCATGGCGGTTCTTACCAGATCCTGGCAAGCTGCAGGCTCACTGAGAAGGCAGCAGTGACTGACAGAGCTCCAGGCTGCTGGAGTCTGCATAATTCCTGAAATGGGTCCCCATTTTCCTCTTGATGTGAGAGTCCCATTAGCCTTACAGGGCTTTGTGAGCAGCAAGCAGAGAATATGGAGGTGGGGTTTTCCCCCTCTGCTTTTTTAATATCTAGTTTTACCATTAATGAGAAATCAAAGCAAATATTGATAATTTCTTATACAAAATCCTAATGTAAGCAGTTGAGCATATTTCAAACGACAAGATTACAGCATAGAAGAAACAGACCGGCAGCCTTCTGTCTGAAGTACAATTTTTATAACCTCTGAAATGCACACAGAATAATCACTCCCATAAATGAATATTTGCTACTGTCTTATCCAGCCCATGCTCAGCAGGAAAGAAATCAAACACACTGGCGAGGCAGCGGGGTCTGAAGCAGGGGTAGGCAACCAATGGCACGTGTGCCGAAGGCGGCACGCGAGCTGATTTTCAATGGCACTCACACTGCCCGGATCCTGGCCACTGGTCCAGGGGGCTCTGCATTTTAATTTAATTTTAAATGAAGCTTCTTAAACATTTAAAAAACCTTATTTACTTTACAGACAACAATAGTTTAGTTCTATATTATACATGTATAGAAAGGGACCTTCTAAAAAAGTTAACATGTATTACTGGCATGCGAAACCTTAACTCAGAGTGAATCAATGAAGACTCGGCACCCCACTTCTGAAAGGTTGCCGACCCCTGGTCTACAGGATTGAGAACAAGGAAACTCCTACATTCCATTCCCAGCCCAGTCACCAAACTGCCTCCAGCCCAGGGCTCCAAATGCCCTGCTCTAACCATTGTTATCATGTTTATTATGCTAGTGCCTAGGGTCCAACCCAGACCAAGCCCACACTGTGGTAGGTACTATACAAAGACAGTAGTGAACAATTCCTGTCCCAAAGAGCTTCCACTCTAAGTAACCAGGAGACAACATTCTCATCCTTACATTAGGGAGCCAAAGTTTACAAAGGAAGATCAAAAGAAATAAAGAGAGAAGGCGTTCAATACCTCCTGCTACATGAAGTTTGCTTTCCCCACACAGACACACTCACAAATAGCGTCCCCAATCCCACACGCAATATGGCAGTGTTTACATTTCAGACAGTCATTCTCAGAAGACAAAGCCCCATTACTGTAGATAAATTCCAGCTACCTGTAGTGGAGAAGTTGACCTTCTGCATTGTAATCCCGGTATATTTCATATTCTTTCTCAAACACTCCGGGAGGTGAAGAACTGCAACATAGGAATGGGGAAGAAGGAAGTTACCAAGGACAGCAATTTGCATCAATATTTTAGCTTGCGGGTGACAGGGATGTACCCACACCCGCATTCACCGACACTGTCCTCCAACCCCAACAGCCTGGGGACCACACTCACATTTCTTATCTCTCAGGTGGCTCAGTTACCATCATTTAGCCATCCATGAACTGTAATAGATTTCTACTTCCTTGGAATTGCTCTCAACTGACTTTCCTCAAAACCCCAAATAGGTCATATTTTCCCCTGAACACTAACTATACATTAAGAAAGGATCCAATAAGGCGTGCCCATAACAAAAGCATCTCATGATCTTGTCCCACAACCTTTGTCCCTCTCAAACCACCTCCTTTCCCAGGGCTTGTCAACCCATACCCATTTATTTGAAAGCCATTCTACATTAGCATAGCACTCCATAAGATGTTCAGGACAAGAACTGTATAAAGTTTAGCATGCTGTCGGCACTGAAATAGATAAAATACCTTGTAACTTATTGTAAACTCTGCAGGGCTAGAGATTTTGGTTTTGGTTTTCTGTTAACTCATCGGCACACCTATGGAGAGTCTGCTCAATGTTTTGCTAGTCAGGCAGTTTTTCAGAGGAGAACTACTATGTAGAAATGGCCCTTTGCTACTCGGTAAAGTCTGTCCTCCATCCCCATCTGTACATGAGTCAGATCTGCCGACTTCAGTGGACTGGACAATATTACTACTTTTTTACTTCCGTTAGCCCTGCAGAGCCAAGACAACGAAGAGGGAGCTGGAAAGTCTACTCCTTGGGCAATGAGCAATGGAATTGTTTACCAAGTTCCAAACACTTGTGAAAATCCACTGATGGTGTCTCTGAGGGCTGATGTGGCCTGAAGAACATTCATTGCTGGCAATAGTGTGCAAGAAGGAAAGAACCCAGCTTGATTCTCAGATTCTGGAGGAAGTCTACAGGATGGCAGTTAGAAAACACGAACACTCTACACTGAGTAGATTTGATCTGGAGTCATTGAGAGAACAAGCCTGTAGCCTCATAATGCCATTTCTGAAGTGTTAACTTTCCAGACTAGCACATTTTAAAGCCTCTCTCACACACACATAAATGTTATACAAGGTCAAAGGTTAGTTGCCCCTTGACATTCTTGATACTCCCACTTCATGTTCCTCCTAACTGAACACAAAGCAGAGATGCATGTCTCTTTACACCTTACTCCATTTAGGCTCTAGATTGAGTTGACCCTAGCTTTCTTTGTCTAAAGGCAGCATTCACATTTTTATATAAATGTGCATATATGACTCAGCGCAAAAGAGCTACACCTCCAACTTTGCTTATCATGCATCTTTAATGGCCTGGGGAAGTAAGGGGACTCTCTCCCCCTTAACAACACTCTGTAATGGGCTGCATAAATCATCAGGCTTCTTTAGAGAACACCTGGCTATTCACATACACTGAACAAAAGGTTAGACATTTATTTTGTTAGATCCTTATACAACAAAGTGCAAAGCTAGAGAAACTACTTCTTTCTGATCAATTCTCTAAAAGATGTGGTGTGAAAACATACACACAGACACAGAGTTCAGCTTAGATGCTGGTTTCAGAATGAAGAAAAAAAGCCATCTTCCTAATAGGATAGAACTCAAATTTTATTCAGGAAAGTGGCAATAAAATTAAGCATCTGTCAAAGCTAATTTTAATGAGGCTTCTGAGCCTTAAAATTATGACTTGCAGAAGCACTGTGTTGAATCACTTAATCCCTTTTCTCTCTCTATATGTAGCACATGCACATGTCCTCCCTGCCTCACTCTCTTGGTATCCAGCCTATTCTGCAGTCCTTGCAGACATCTGTTCTCGTGTTCAGTTCTGAATCCAAATCCAAAGACCACGGCAACTCCTCCACAATGAGCTGCGATCTCCTTTCACACCATCTACTGAGGCTTGGCTCAGGCAACTTCAGAAGGCTGGGACGTAACTTAGAAAATGGTCCAGCTGTGGGCTCTATTCAGAATCTATTGAAGTCAACTGGATGCTTTCTATTGGCTTCAGTGGACTGGAATAGGCTCTAGCTGAGCAAGGTCTTCAGGCAAGTTTTAAAAGCTTGGACTAGAAGCTGCAGGCTGACCAAGTGGACTGGGATGAAGTTCCTCTGTTACAGCAAACATTTGTAACTAAGGGCACTCAGCACCCCTCTGCCTCCCAGAACAAACTGCTGAGGCAAAGGGAATTTACCCACCTCAAGTCCCACTTTGTTCTTCCCTACCTGAATCACAGATGGGGCTAGTGGAACACGCATTGCCATGGCATGTCTTTTTTAGCCAGTTCGTTACCCAGGAAGGAGTTGACCACAGTAATTCCTGGTCTCCCTTCTGTCTAACTATCCCACAGAACTTCTGGCAGGCTTGGTGAGTCTGGGAGATTGTTTTTAATCAGCACATGGGAAGGTTCTTCCAGAAGCGGAGGGCAACAAAAATGATTAGGGGTCTGGAGCACATGACTTATGAGGAGAGGCTGAGGGAACTGGGATTGTTTAGTCTGCAGAAGAGAAGAATGAGGGGGGATTTGATAGCTGCTTCCAACTACCTGAAAGGGGGTTACAAAGAGGACGGATCTAGACTGTTCTCAGTGGTAGCAGATGACAGAACAAGGAGCAATGGAATCAAGTTGCAGTGGGAGAGGTTTAGGTTGGATATTAGGAAAAACTTTTTTACTAAGAGGGTGGTGAAGCACTGGAATGGGTTACCTAGGGAGGTGGTGGAATCTCCTTCGTTAGAGGTTTTTAAGGTCAGGCTTGACAAAGCCCTGGCTGGGATGATTTAGTTGGGAATTGGTCCTGCTTTGAGCAGGGGGTTGGACTAGAACCTCCTGAGGTCCCTTCCAGCCCTGATATTCTATGATTCTATGATGCTCAAGACAGAGGCTCCACTACAGTAATGTTGCTTTTAAGACACCTTTTTTCCAGCTGAGTCTGCAAGACTCAAGTCTCAGTTTTCTGAGGTAGGTGGGAGCTCACAAGTGACTTAAGCTTGTATTTACTCACCCATTTGCATCCAAAAAAATGAACAAGTTACCCAGATGTGAAGAGTCCATTAGATTCAGATGGTGCAAGTCAGCAGCAACTACAACTAATTATTCAACTATATTTTATTTTTTCTATTTCATGTCACCTCTCTATGTTTAGCTAGACCCAGGATTCTTTGGGGGCATTATACATTGAAGAACTGACACTCTAAGATATCTCCTTCACAATGTACCCCCTGGTCCTTTAGATGCCTGTGAAATACGAGCAAATGCAAGTGTGGCTGGGATTACTGACCAAAGTACTGATTTTTAAGTTTTCAGTGTAAAACTTGAAAGTGCACATAGGGCAACTCAGATGAAGCAGCATTTAATATGTTCTGCCCTAAAATATGCTCATGTTCACTTGGCAGATGTTATTGCCTTGCAGAGCTTCAAAGAAAGTGGCACAAGATGCCAGCCCAGGAGCAGTTAGAAGAGAATGACTCAAATATCAGGCTTGTATATGAGTGAGCTCTTAATGACCCAAAGCCATATACCGTGCATGCTGCTGCATGGTCACAAGATCACATGGCAAGAGGCAAGCTCTGGCGTAGCTAACAATCCCTATTCCCATCCTAAGTATTGCAACAAGATCCTGGAGGAGACGACATGTCAGGAGAAATAAGGGATGTTATTCCCTGGTCCTTGCTCCCTGTTTCTGGGCACACAATGGACAGTATTGTTCTTCATTCCGTTGCTGGTGAATCACAGTTGGATTGTAATCAACTCCTCCTACTGAAGCACCAGGCTGGAAATGATATTGATGGCATCTATCTTGTCCCTCACATGCAAGTTACAAGTTTCAAGGTCATGAGAAATATGGTAACATGTCATTTATGACAGACATTCCATATGAACGACATACCATATTTTATAGCCGATCAAAATTCATCACTCCATAACTGTTGCTAAGAACGCACTACTCATTATCTTTAGGCTGATTTTTGAAGGTTCTGATTCTGAAAAATAAAATCCCTTGATAGGACAGAATATTGAGTAATTGACAAGACTGAGGGAGGGGAAAAAAGCCACTGTATCGGACAGGAGTCTGGAAAAATATGCCATCACTCAAGTTAGAAGATCTGTTTTATAGCATCAGCAGGAAGCTCTTAGCAAACTTTCAAAGGAAACTAGCTCTGTCCCTGTTGACAGGCCTACATGAGTCAGATCATCTACACGTTGTCATGTTTTTCTTAAGAACATAAGAATGGTCATACTGGGTCAGACCAAAGGTCCATATAGCCCAATATCCTGTCTTTCCACAGTGGCCAATGCCAAGTGCCCCAGAGGGAATGAATAGAACAGGTAATCATCAAGTGATCCATCCCCTGTCGCCCATTCCCTGCTTCTGGCAAACAGAGGCTAGGGACACCATCCCCTATCTATCCATGAACTTATCTAGTTCTTTTTTTAATCTTGTTATAATCTTGGCCTTCACAACATCCTCTGGTGAAGAGTTCCACAGACTGACTGTGCGTTGTGTGAAAAAATACTTCTAGAGGCACAAACAAGTCCCGTACGATTGACAGATCAATGGAATTGCATGTGGACATAAGTGACCATGGGTCTGGTAGAACAGGAAGATTGAATGGAGGATAAATGATAATAAGTGTAATAAAAGGAATGCAATAAAGGAAGGAGCAAAAAATTTATGCCAACATAAAAGAATTTTAACAACTAAATAGCTACTATTCCTATGTGGATGGCTTCTTTCCAAGGCTTGCTACTTCTGTAACATGCAAGGGCTGTTTAGTTGAGTAGGAGACAAAAAGATAAGTCAATCCAAGGCTTTTGGTCCTTCCTGTCCTGTCCACTTCACATCAGAATACAGACACAGAATTTCCAGACTTCACTACAACACTGGACACTGTTCCTTTGACATGTGAGATTAGTAATGTGGGGATTCATTACCCAGCCCTGAGATTTCAGGTTGA